GGCGGTACAGGGGAGGGGGTGGCATGGTGGGGGTCCCCACGGCAGAGCTCGGGGTGCAGGTGAGCACTGGCCTGCGGTGGTGGGGACGGCATCGTGTCCTGGGGAGCAGCACATCGCTGCCTTTGGGGGGTCACAGACACAGACGGGGGCGAATTTAAATAAGGAAAAGAATAGTAACGGGCTGGGAAGGGGATCTGGGTGGTTGCTGCTGGCTCACACGTGGTCCCCGGTGTTCCCCGGCAGGGATCCTGTATGACACCTACCCGCTGTCGGAGAAGACCTGGCACACCCATCAGTTCACCTTCATCAAGGTAATGTGGCAGCGTGCAGCACCCCCACCTTCGTGAGGGGCCAGAGTCCACATTTTGGGTGGGGGAGATTTTGGGGAGATGGGGGCACAGGAGGCAGAGAAGAGAATCTGCAGGAGAAGCAAGCGCTTGGAGGGGGGCGGGTGCTGAGCGGGCGGTGCTGAGTCCCCCACTCTGTTCCCGTTGCAGGACCATGCCTTCCGCCTGCTGCAGCCTGGGGGGGTCCTCACCTACTGCAACCTGACCTCCTGGGGGGAGCTGCTCAAGTCCAAGTACAGCGACATCGAGAGGATGTTTGAGGTGAGCGTTGTCCCCTGCGCTGGGGAGGGCCTGGCACCTCCAACCCAAGCCGGGGTCCCCAAAGCCACCCCATCACCCTGTGCTCCTGCATCCCCAGGTACTGTGGTCATGAAGCCAGAGCCCTCCATGGCCACTTCACTCATTCCTGACAGCTGGGGCTCAGCAGGGAGCATTTGAGGAAAAATCAGGGCTCCCTGTGCCCAGCTGCTTGCGCTGTCCCTGTCCCCACAAGCTGGAGCTCAGCATCATCTCCGCTCACATCCGGGCAGCTCAAGCCATGGGTGCTCCTCTTTCCCACAGGAGACCCAGGTGGAGCAGTTGCTGGAGGCCGGGTTCAAGAGGGAGAACATCAGCACGAAGGTGATGGACCTGGTGCCCCCCCGGGACTGCAGGTACTACTCCTTCCCCAAGATGATCACCCCCACTGTGGTGAAGCACTGAGGGGGCTCCCAGCTCCATCCCTCGGGGCTGCCCTGAAGCCGCAGGAAGCAACCACTAACAAGGAGAGGAGAGGCTGATTATGTGCTGTGAGGAGGAGAAAAGCTCTTTGCCCTGATGCTAATGAGAAGCTGATTTATCTGGAGGCAGGAGATGGCTGTGGGCTGGGGATGGAGTCCTGGATCCCCAGCGCCTCCCTGGACAAAATGACCCAGAGACTCCCTGGCCCAAGCCCTGCGGGGCTCACAGAGGAAGGCCCCACCCTGCTCTGGTTTCCACTCAAGGCTCCTCATCTCCAAATACCTCAACAGAGCTACAATTCCTCACCACCTCCTTGCAGCTCAATAGCACAGAAATGACGCTTTCTCCCTGCCCAGAAGGGATAAAATCCATTAAAAAGGAACAAAACTCACAACTGAGCCATTTGTTTGTCCTTCCAAAGTGCAGAGTGCATGTGCAATCCTGCCCTGACTCTGCCTGTCCCAGGCTGCCGGCACCAAAGCCAGCCACAGGTCTCTTTATTCCTCCTGCAGCATTCGCTTTTATGAGCCATATTCTGATTTTAAGCATTAATATTTTACTTGTAGAAATGTAATTAACTTCTGGCCGCTGTGCACACAGATAGAAAGGATTTCTTCGATCCTCTGTAGGTATTAGAAACAGAAAGCAGGTGGTGAAAGCCAAGCTCAGGGGTGCACTTGGATGCACATTGGTCTCAAAGCTTCCTAACAAAGCCAAGGCGCAATCCCAGGTTCCTGGCAAAGCGTTTGTCACGACAGGGAACTCCAAACCTTCTCCTTTGCTCACAGGCTCCTCAGGCCACACAGGAACACTGAATGTCATCAAATCCCACCCCTGCTTTTTAAATGAGTTTAAAACACTTTAGATGAGAGGGATGGGGAACATCTTAACCAGGTAGGGTTTTATTGGAAGGCTCGTGATAGCGGTGATTGTGCGTACGGATGCAAGCAGGCGCGCCGGGGGGCGGCGAGTGGGCAGTCATAAATAGAGTTTATTTCCTGTACCAGATCTGGATCCTCTTCTCCCGTTTGATTTTCCTCTGCAGCTGCAGGATGCCATACAGCAAAGCCTCAGCCGTTGGCGGGCAACCTGAGAGAGCAAAAGGAAGCCCATGGGCTGTGAGCTGTGGCCAGCAGCAGGAGAACCCACAGCCACGGCCGCACCCCAAGGCAGGCTGTGATTTCCCTCTGCGTCACAGGCTACAGAGTTCATAAAAGCAAGAGAGCTGCTTCAGTTTAGAAAGTGATGGTTTTTTAAGAGGTCTTTATAAAACGTAGAAATGCTTTGCTTTCAAGCTCTCACAGGGAGCACGCAGTTGGCTGAACCACAGCCCACACTTTACGCAACGTCACTGGTGAGCAACAGCACCAGAACTGCGCTTGCTCACTGGAAACCCCAGGCAGATCCCACCAAAGCCTCTGCAGCTTCCCCAGCACCGCTTGAAATAGAAAAGAGCTTTAAAAACTACACCAAGCACCCGTCAAACATCCAAAACCAACTCCGTGCTCTGCTCCGGTCAGCGCAGGGCACGCAGAGGCTGTCTCCTACCTGGCACGTAGATGTCCACCGGCACGATGCGGTCGCAGCCCCTCACCACGGAGTAGGAGTAGTGGTAGTAACCCCCACCGTTGGCACAGCTGCAAGAGACAGGGAGGGGGTGTCAGCGCGTTGTTAAATGCGGCTCAGCAGCCCCCGAAAGGTGAGCGGCACCAGAGCACGGAGGTGAGGAGCTCCCCAAAAGCAGCCGGGGATGGAGCGGAGGCCACGCTCGTGGGCTGTCACGTTTGAAGCTGAATCAAACCGAACCACTTATATCGCTTTTACAAAGCGGATGTTCACAGGGTCCCTCCTCTCTGCTGCAAAACCTTCTCTGTTTTGCCTCGTCTGCACAGAGCATCTCTGGAACCGTCTGTGCAACCGAGTGAAACGGCCACCTCCAGCCCAGCAGCTGCAGGAGACGAACAAGGTGCCACCTCCGCCACGCCAGAGCTCCAGGGAGCTCCGATTTTGTGCTGTGCAACAGAAATATTTTGAGAGCTTTTGTCTAAATCCAACTTCAGAGATTCTGGACATGCACAAGTGCCCAGACTCTGACAGCTGCAAGAACCCCAGGATCTTTCACTGGGAAGCAACTCGACAGACGTCACTGTCCTGGAATCAAAGGGTCTTTCTGTTTCACTTGTAACAAGGCCTCTTTTTATGATTTAAGGGGCTGAAAATACAAATGAGAAACGGGTTCCCCTCCCTCTATCTCCCTGCTCACAGCCACCAATTGGTGCCATGCAGCACAAGGCGGTGACACCACCCTGGCACTCACCTCCCCATGGACACCACGTAGCGAGGCTCCGGCATCTGGTCGTAGACCTGGAGAGCACAGACGTTTCAGCGCCCTTCGCACCCGCGCCCGGTGTGCGCGGCCGCGCGCGAGGCTGCCGCCGCGGTCCCTACCTTCCGGAGAGCCGGGGCCATTTTGTTTGTCAGGGTGCCAGCCACGATCATGACGTCAGCTTGCCGCGGGCTGGCTCGAAACACCACCCCAAAGCGGTCCATGTCGTAGCGAGGAGCCGCCATGTGCATCATCTCCACGGCGCAACACGCCAAGCCAAACGTCATGGGCCACAGCGAGCTCTGCAGCAGGGGATGCAAATGAGGAGTAAGAGTGGTGAAGATGTCAGAGCTTCGTAAACGAAAGTGATGTTTGCCAAAGGACAGCCCTGTGCGGGCCAGCGGCTGCGCTGCTCTGCGCCACCCTCGCAGTCAGCGTCTCCCTGACACAGCACCCAAATGTCAGCCTCCAGATGAGAAATTTGGCTGTTTCCCTGCGGAGAATTTTGAATCTATTTTTCCCCTCAGAAGGAGGTGGCTCAAATCCCCTTCCCCCGGCAGCTCCGAGCCGCTGACACCATTTCTCCCTGGCAGATGTGGTGGTTTCGGCCACTCACCCTTCGTGCCCAGTTGATCAGGTCATCGAGTTTGGTGACAATGTACTCGCCCCTGCTCGAGGGGACGTAGGATTTTTTCTGGACGATGGCTGAGCTCTTCTGCTGGACTTGGACAGAGCTGGAGACAAAAGGCACAGCAGTGTCAGTCGCCAGTTGTTAAATGTAACAGCAGAACACAACCACGAGCCTCAGATCCTGTACAGAATCAGCAGTACACTGGTAATGGGCAACATCACACCCTCTGCTAGCGCTAGAGACCCTGTTTATAACAGGGGGTTTCTCCCCACTGTGGGGAGATCTCTGGAGTCTTGCTCAGGCAAGGCCCCTCTGCCCAAATTATGGTGCCGACGGGCTCATCTCCAGGGCTCATAGACTGACAGCAGCCTGGCTGTTAAAAAGCGAAGCAAGGAGAAGATCCCTGTGTGTACGCAGACAGAGCTGCGGCAAAAGGCTTCTTCCCCCGTGGTAGCCCGCATCCCCACCCTCAGGAACCCG